GGGAGGCAGGGGGGGGCAGGCAGGTCCGCGGGAGCTGTTTTTCTTTGGGAGCTGGCTGGAAAGCCACTGCCCACATACATTGGCTCCAGCCGGCCCCCCTCTCCTTCTGCACTGCTGACTCTATCAGAGGCAGCAGGGAGGGGGCAGGTGGATCTGGGGTTTGTGGGGAGCCAGGTTTTAAGCCAGTTCCTTATGGGGACTGACTCCCACTCCCCCCTCCCTAGCTGCCCCTGATACAGAGGCAGCAAGCAAGGTCGGGGGAAATGCCCAGGCTTATCAGTTAATTGTGTAGTCGTCTACACTATGACATCCCTAATGCCTGCTAGATAACCGGTTAACTGGTTACTCATTCACATAGTCCAGGGCAGACTGGAGGATTAGTGGGGGATCGGTCACCATTAGTAGTGAATGACCCCATCCCTGCAGGCCCCACTCCAGGGCAGGGGGGCAAAAGCCAGAAAGAGGCAGGACAGGGGTTTGAGGGAAGGGTGGACTGGGGATGGAGAGAAGGCAGAACTGTGCTGGAAAGAAGTGTGGTACAGATGGAGCAGGCTGGAAAGAGGCAGGGAGGGGTGAGCTGGGCCTGGGTTGTTTGCTGCTGGTGATGCCACACTAATCCCCCAGGCTACCCTGACCCCTGCTTCTCCCTGAAATGCAGAGCCCCGCAAAGCACCAGGCTCAGGGCAGTTACACCAGACTGTCTTATAGATGGGATGGCTTATAAGCCCAAACATTGGTGATATTCCTAAATACTGGTGGAGCATACACACCATGGGCTCACGTGACTTGCCACCTATGCCTCTTAGGGCATAAAGGGAAAACCCTAAACCACTGAGTTAACAATTATATTTTTTTCTTAAAACAGGTGAGTTTGTGGCGGTCTGAATATTTTTTCATAAAACTCTCATATGCTCTTAGTCCCTTGATTTCCCGGGGTGATCTGTGCAAAGATCAAAGGTAGAATTGTCTCTGTAGGAAGTCATCGTTAAACAGAGACATACTAATAATACTTAGCACTTTTCCTCCAATAACTGCAAAGTGCTTATAGACAATAAGTAAGATCCGCTTTATAGATTACCAACTGAAGCATAAAGAAATTAAGTGATTTGCCTTTGGACATGCAGCAAATTTTGCAACAGTTCTTCGGTGGAACCCAGGTATCCTGAATGCAATTTCTTGTTTAAAAGAAAACTGCTCGTTTATGTGCCATATCTCTCCTGCTTTGCTAATTTGTGTGGAATCCTACGTTTTCTCTGAAATTTGTAATAATAGATTTCACTTTATTCTATAGTTTTCTTGTGTCAACAGTATTTTTAGTAACTGCTTTGCTTAGTACTCATTTATTTCCTTCCTGTATTTTGTCTGTTCTGTGCAAACACAATTTACAAAGGGGGCTGGTGAAGAACTGTGTACGTTGATAGTTGTCTGAATCAAATGATTGTTTTCTTGGGCTTTTGTTCTTCTTGTGGGAATTTCAGTAAAAATATTTCTGGTGTTGCTGGTTATTTTTTTACAGCTCAAATGGGAAATAGCAGAACCCTAGAGTGAGGTCCTCAGTCAATGTATGTTGACAAAGTTCCATTGACTTCCATGCCCATTTACACAGGCGGATGACCTGGTCTTGGAGATATAAGTAACACAGTCCACAGTCGTGCTGTAGTGTGGGGTGTCTAAACTTTGTGACGCTGAGGGATATGTTGGTTATTTGTTGGGTATGCTTAATTTGTGCATTCAAGGGAGGAAGTGCGGCCTAGTAGATAGAGCACTGGATTGGGTCTCAGCAAAGCTGGATTCTGTTCCCAGCTCTATCGCTTACCTGCTTAGTGTCTTTGGGCAAGACACAGCCGCACGATTGGGATGATGAGCTGTGGCTGCAGAACTTCTGGATTCGAGAGGCCACATACCTGGATCTGTGTGCCACGCTCACCCCAGTCCTCCAGCACAGGAGCACCAGAATGAGAGCTGCCCTGAGTTAAGAAGTGACTGACAGTCACTTGGTGGTGCTGGATTGCTACCAGCCCGTGGGAAGTTGGTTTGGAGTTGTAAAATCCACAGTGGAGGCTGCTGCCATGCGAGCATGTGGGGCCATTAAAGTGCAGGACGTAATGGATGGATTTGCAGCAATGGGATTCCCAAACTGTAGCAGGGCAGTAGGGAGATGTGTGCCATTCGTGTTGGCACCTTGCCATCAACAGAAAGGGCTACATGTCTGCGCTTAGGCAAGGGTTAGTGGATCACTGGGATGCTTCAGAAACATCCACGTGGGCTGCTCAGGGAAGATACTCACGTCTTTAAGAGCACAGGACTGTTCAGAAAGCTGTGAGCAGGGACATTCTTTCCCAACCAGTGGATTACCATTGGCAGGCTCGACAAACCACTGTTTCTACTCGCCTCTGGCGAGTGGATTTCAGCTGGTCGCTCCGGGTGCCCCATTCACCGGCACTGCGCGCATGCACGGCGCTGGAGAGTAGCTCTCACCCCAGTTTGTCGAGCCCTGACCATCGGGGATGCTGAAATGCCATTAGTGATCCTGAGGACCCCTCTTTACTCTCTTGGCACATGAAGCCATACACTGGCCCCCTCAACAGCACCGAGGAAAGATTTGTCCACGGGTTCAGTTGGCCCAGAATGACAGCTGAATGTGTGATTGGCAGACTGAAGGGTCTCCAGGCTTGTGTACTGACCAGACTGGATCTCAGTGAGAAAAATATCCCAATTGTTATAGCTCCATGTTGTGTCCCGCCCAGTATCTGGGAGGCAGAGTGGTAGAAGATGCCATCAGGGTGGAAGGCCAAGGTAGAGCAGCTGTCTGCTGAGTTCACACAGCAGAGTTATTAGAAGAGCTTAACATGGAGCTATGTGGCTGAGGAGGCCTCGAAAGAGTATTTTGAGTCAGCTGCAGTAATGTGGGGTGGTAAATTGGTTTCTGTCTATTCCTGCAGTTTTGGGGATGTTAGGAATTGTGTGGTGCTTGGTGCACGTTTATGAATAAAACCGTGTTTGGTAAGACACCCATTGATTTTGACACACTGCAGTAGGATGTTCTTTCTGGATGGATTAGAAAGTGTGGGAGATAAGTGACCCCATTTGCCCCATTTACAGCTTCGTGTTTACAGAGTGGCCAAGTCTGCATGACTCTGGGGAAATGTGCAACCTAGGACGAGGTCCATGCTGGTAGTGTGCAGAGGCTTGTGAATGTTACTGCAGTCGGAGGAAAGGCCTTTCCCACATCAGCCTGGTTCGGGGCTCCTGGCTGGCCAATGTTTAACTGACACCAGTACTTGGAGGTTCTGTTTTGCTGGGTGCAGCATGATCAGACTCACAGATGAGGGCCCTGCCTCGAGGCTTTCAGTTCATGCAAAGATGTTCTGCTAACTGAAGGTTTGTGGAGTCGTCTGTCCGTTGTGATTTTTTTTTTCCTTGAGAAGAAATCAGCTGAGCACTCCTAGATGCAGAGAATGGGGATTTGGACAATTCTAAGAGAACTGTAAGGACTGAAAACTCCAAATTCCTCTTCTGAGGCTTGTGGCCTTTCACAAGACGATCACGGGCTGTACCCAGGATTCCTGTTAAGCCTTTGGTCTGTCTGCTGAGAACAGTATCTGTTTTGTTCTGTATGTAGCTTTCCTGTGAAACACTAACACACTGTGAATGGTTTACACCTCACCGGAATGGGAGAAGTTATGGCCAACATAGTTACTGAGTCTGAGTGCAGCAAGTAAAGTTTGATTTATTTTAGGTAGAAGAGAAGGTTTTCTCCACCCTCCGGATTGGGCAGAGGCACCAATTGTTGTCCTGGTTTTGTCCAATGCTATTCTAGTGAGATTGCTACTGCCAAATCTTCCTGGCCCTCTGATCTGTGCCTATGGCTTACCAGTTTACTTGTTTCTTTGAAGGGTGGCTCTCCTCAAGAGGTGGTTCAGTGTGGTGACTCCAGTTTTGTCTACACTTGTAAGTTTAAAGAGCTCTCCCAGTGCTGTCGGTAAACCAGCTCCATGTGGGGAGTAGCTAACAGCGCCTGGGGGCTTGCTTACCCTGGCGCTTTACAGCGCTGTAACTTGCTGCACTCAGAGGGAGGTGCTTTTTCACACCATGAGTGAGAAAGTTACAGCACAGAAAAGTAGCAGTGTAGACAGGCTCAATTTAGGGAGCTATGCAGATGAGAACGTCTTCTGTTTATCCAAGTACCTCCTCATGACATGATTTTGTTGTTTGAATAGAACCAATTAAGGGCCTGCTTCCATTTCATTGAAATTAGTGGGGAATTTAACACTTGATTTTAATTGGAACAGGGCTTTGCCTTTTCTTTGGAGGTTAAAAATATAAAATCATTTTTTGTGCTGATCATGCTAGAATCTGGTTTAAAGATAATCTTGGTAACCAGGAGCAGTAGCTTGTGGACTTCAGGTGGCAGTGCTTGTATTGCTTTTCCCACAGACTGATCCTGGCTGCTACTGTAATTGTGTCTGTAAAAAGCTGTACAACCAAGTCTGAACAATAAAAACAAACAGTTAAGGAACCCACCTGACATGTTCAGTTGCTATTCTAATAAAATATGAATTATTCGTGCTAAGAGAAGTGAAATTATTACAGGTAATAAGATAAGGGAACAAACTAAGAACAAATCTCTTTTTAATTACTACTATAGTACCTTATCTGACCCTCATCACTAAATTACCTGTGCACCTTACAGTATTTTTATGTATTTATCCTCACAACACCCTTGTGAGGCAGGAAACTTACCTATTTGCAGATGGAGAACTGAGGCACAGAGAGATTAAGAGACATGACCAAGGAAGTCTGGAGATCTGGATTCCATTCCTTGATCCCCCAAAATGTCCCAGGCTAGTAACTTAAGTCCTGGACTGTCCTTCCTATAAAGTATTTTACTGAGCAGGCTTCTGTGTTTCCTTTTCAAAACTATCCTCCCACTGTTCAAGTGATTAAAGTTCAGGTATTCCCACCCCAAAAGAACACTATCAAATAGGAAATCATAGAAATTATTACTTGACACTTTACTCTTTTCCTGCTATTGGTTATCGGCAAAATTCATAAATCAACATCAAGATATCTGGGGTTAATTTTATTGTTTAGCAGAGCTAGCTAAGTATGTGCCTTTTCACTTGATACATTCTGCAGGGACCTTGCCTCTTTTTGCCAGTGTGCCTTGTGCAGGATATTATTCAGGATAGTACAGTAAAACTCCATTAGTCCGGCATCCAATGCTCCAGCACTCCTGATGGTCCGGCACCATCAGGAACCCGGAAGTGCTCCGGCTGCTGGACAATTGGAGCTGCTTTGCGCCCAGCTTTCCCGATTCCCTAACTGAATGTGAGCACATTGATTAATCTACTGATAATAAAGGATGGAAATCTCCATGAATTGAAAATAAAACCCCAAGAAAAAAGTATATTAAAAGCTATTAAGATGTAAGAACTATACCACATGCATTAAGGTACAAGTGAGTTTACAAAGCTTACAGAGCTTGGACTTGTGTTCAACTTTTTTTTCTGTTCTAAATTCATAGCAAATATACAGTGGGTACCTTTAAAATCTTGGCATTTACTACTGATAGGATGTTAAACTTCTTTGTGGTACTCTCTATTCCAAGCATAGGGCACTGCATATCTCACTAATAGTAAACGATAAATGTCAGGACTTTAACAGTACACTCTAATTATTATGGACCAAATACCGACATTCTGGCTCAACTTGATTAACACCTTACTTTATGAGTAGTATGATTGAATTACATGGGACTACTTGTGATAGTATTTGATAAAAGAACATCAGACTACCTCTCTGGCATCTACAGTAAACTTCCGATAATCCGGCACCTTTAGGACCTTGGGAGTGCCGGATTTGGGGCAGAGCCGGACTATTGGAAGGGGGGGACTATGAGGGGTCTGAGGTGGCATCCCCCCCCGCCCCAGACCTCTCATAGCCCCCCCTTCCAATAGTCCGGCATATCTGATAATCCGGCACCCCCTGAGTCCTAAAGGTGCCAGATTATCGGAGGTTTACTGTAGATTCTTATGATCATGTTTTGAGGATAAGTCTTTTTGTTGGTGTGTTTTCCCTCTTGTATTTTAAATTCAATTTAACCTGTGAGCAGAGAATTGGAGTGAAAGGTATATAAGGAAATATTTGGTGGGCTGAGCAAGACTTCCTCATGTGTTCGCAAATCATGAGCCAGGTCCAAAAATAGGATTGGCCTAAAAATCGTGAGTGTTTTTTTTTTAAGTTCTAAGCTTGGATTCTTTCTATTTGTCTTTGGTCTTTAGAGACTTCAGATTTCTTAAATTCAAAGCTTTTCTCCACTTGGGGAATATTGGTTAATCATGTAGTCATCTACATGATGACATCTCTAATAGACACTGTTACTGCTACACCTGCACAAGTTTCATTTGTATTTTTCACTTTGAATTATTGCATTTCACCTTTTGGTTTGTGGCTATTCTCTACATCCACATGCACATTTCTCTTCAAATGTATGCTGAATTGATTTTGTACAGACACATGCAAGAGTTTTCTTAAATATCTGCTCTAGATACTTGTCACCCCCTTTCTCTGCTACTTATATGCTGTCAGGTGAAAAGTAATATCTATTGCTTTGTTGCTAATAATGCTGTAGATTCCTATGCTGAAATAATTTAAAAAATTTAATTTGATTTTTGTGACTTTTGCTGTTAGATTCCTTTTTGCTCAGTTTAAACAAAGAAAAGAGACCAGTGACTTTCATTTTTGGTTCTTTTGCATTACACAATAATATTGGATAATTTGGTTTGCAAACAAAGCAGGGAAGGACTTAAATCCAAACATCTGTTTTCATCCCCTTTGTAGTGGGCTAAATATCATGGACATTTCTATTAATGTAGTTTGTATAAACCAATTTTCCTTCCTCAAAATATAAATGTTGTGATCACAAGCTACTTGACTCAGTTCTTTGAATCCTTCTAATGTGGTCATTCAGAGACACTCTTTTCTGTTTTATTTCTTGGCACCTAAATCAAAAACCTTAAAACCTACAATATCCGATGAGTTGGGTTTTCGGACTTAATGAGAGGATCAGTAGCATTCAATCAGTAAGTAAATAAACAGACTATATAAAACAGGCAAAGTCGGATCTGTTGTACCGAGACATTATGCTAAATGCAGTGAAATTATTTTATAATAGTTTGCTTTAGGATTATTGTTAATTGCCCTCAAAAGCATCTTGTGGCACCCCTTCAAATGAGGTAGGAAGGGAAGTAGTTAAATGAGTGCTAATATGAATGTCAGTGCAATAAATATAAACATTTACTTTGAATGAGTGATGACGAACAATATCATTGTTTAACTTAGATTTTGGTGATCTTTGGTACAGTCACTTAGGCCCAGATTTTGCAAACATGTATTGTATTGTCCCATTGGTTTCAGTGGGTCTACTCCATATACACAAAGTTACTTGCATGCAGAAATGTTTGCTGGGGAAGCCTGAGGGAGCCAACTTTTTTCCAAGAAGACCAGCAATAAACATCTTCATTGTGCATCCATTTGCCCATTTCAAAATGTTATCTATAGTGATACACGCATGTATAAATATTTAGTTTTATATGTTAGAAGTAATTGTATTGCCATGTAAACTGTGTATTCAGCAGTTTCAGGTAGGAAGTATTAGAAGCATTACACCACTACCATTATTCCAACATTTATTTTCTTGAGCGTCTTGAGATTTTAAGTTTGGGCCTCTTTTACAAAGAGAAATGGTTAAATATTTGAAACATATTTTGTTGCTTCTGTTCTAACCCTACTCTGTGTGCATGCTAATAATGCTGTGTATCTTCTGTATGTAAACATTTGCAATATGTTGTTTTTCAGCTTGGTTTTGGGTCATTTCTTGGAATAATTGGATCAAACTTGATAGAAAACAAAAGACAAATGGTAAGTTCAGTATTTGTGTAGCTAATTTTTAAAATTACCTAAACAATAGTAATAAGTTATAAAAGCCTTTTAAAAAGTGCTAGAACGCGTTTGTCTAGCACTAGAGTACTGCGTTTGTCAGCCTTGCATTTTTGTAGACTAGCTGAACAGTAATGAATGAGCTTCCAGTTCCTTGTCTGGTTTGTAGTTAAGTTTATTTTAAAGGGACAGCTACTCAGCTGCTGTCATTCACTGACGTTCCATTGAGGTCAGTAGCGCTGCTCTGTTGTTACCAGCTGAGGATCTGGCCCCAATCTCCAGAGTAAAGGCAGCCAGCACAAGAGCATAAGTGATACACAGAAAATACTTTTTAAGCCTGGAGCCGCGGTCCTTCCTTCCAGAATGTCTGCTTTGCTGGTGCCTACACATGACACTCCTGTTACAGGTATTAACAGGCTTACTTGTCTATGGACTGGAGAGCCAGGGCCTAAGTTTTTTCAGAATGAGCCATGTGAGAGGGATCAAACCGGCCTGCGAATGGGGGCAGTTGCCCTGCAGCCTATAGGGTTGCCAGGTGGTCTCCCAAAAAATACCGAACACGCAGGCTACAAATTTGTTGAGCCCCCCCCCAAAAAAAAACCCCACTGCCATGAACACACATGCTATGTTTAATACTTAACTTTATTATAAACAGTCTTCATCCTACACCATCTCTATGTAAAGAGGCTTAGAAGTAATTGTGCAAATGTGTATGCTATTTTCATTGTGTTCTTTTCCTCTAAAGCTAAGGCTATAGAACTCCTTTCTGTCCTGCAGCTGAAATGATTGTAGAGAGCTCCCAGCGCCGATCGCGCCCCCCTCCCAGCCACTCCCCCTACCCCCACCAGGCTTCCCTTGGGCTCCCAGCTGGAAAACCAGAAAATACTGGACATTGCACATGTCCGGTATTTTCTGAAATTTTTAACCGGACAGATGCCCCAAAAGCCAGACAGTCCGTTGACTACTGGACACCTGGCAACCCTACCTTGGTCACAGCTTTTGTGCAATCACCGGCTCCTAGTGCCGATCGTGGCCGCATCTTCCAGCCGGTCCCCCTGCCCTGCCAGGCTTCCGTCCGGTGCGCAGCTGGAAAAATCAGAAAATACCGGACATTGCACGTGTCCAGTATTTTCTGATTTTTTTTTTTTTACTGGACAAAGCGCAAATCCCGGACTGACCGGTAGAATACTGGACTCCTGGCAACTCTAGCGGCCTGCTGATTCTAAAGGGCCGGCTGCTACTGCAGCAGTGCGGATGGCCAGTTTCCCAGGCCCTTTAAAACTACTGTGGAAGTGCTGCATGCTGGAGAACCCCATGCCAAGCTCTCTGGCTGGCTCTGAGGGCCGGCGGGGTGGGGGCACTGCGCTGGCTAGGGATGTTAGATATCGAGTAACTGAATAGTCGCGTAACCGCATGAAATCTTAGCTGTTACACAACTATTGGATAGTCCCCAGGGGCAGGGCCGGCAGTGCGCTCCGGCCCCACTCTCAGGGAGCCCCCTGCCACCTCATGCTGCTGCCTCTGATACAGAGGCAGAAGCCCCTGTCCGTGGGGGTCCAAGCTCCCCATGCACAGAAGCTGTTGTGCAAGGGAGGGAGGGAGTGGGAGAGGCTACTGCAAAGCAGCAAGGGGGGGGAGGGGAATGCATGTAATTGACAAGATTAACCGGTAATACTAGGCTTATCAGTTAATCGTATAATTGATTACACGTTGACATCCCTAGCACTGTCCAGGCAGTGCTGGGGGCTGTCTGTCCCAACTCCATCCCTTCTGGGTGCACAAGTCAGAGTCCCCCCACCCCACAATGTCCAGGGTCCTGGCAGTCCTGTCAGCTCCCCTGGAATCAGGTGATTTCAGTATAAAAAGAGGAGGAAGTTGCAGAGAAGGGGGGCAACTTAGGAAACTGCAGCTATGCCTTTAGATCAGGGTTTCCCAAGCTATGGGTCACCATTACATTTCAAAAGGGTCGCCAAGTGTCTCCCCAGGTGGCTCTGCCCCCACTCCTCCCCCCCCTTTTTGAATTGCCTTGGGTCGCCAAGTCTTTCTGAATTGTCAAAATGGGTCCCCATCTGGAAAAGGTTGGGAACCGCTGCTTTAGATGAGGGGCGGGGAACCTTTTTTTTTTGGGTCAGGGGCTGCTGACCCACAGAAAAATCAGTCGGAGGCCGCACACAAGTGAGAAGCAACAAAAAGCAAAAAAAAAGCAAAAAAAAAACCCCAAAACCAAACCTCCTCTGACGTGGCCCCCAGCTGAGAAGAAAAAGACATTTCCCACATTCTCCTCCCACACCAGAGCCTAGGCAGACCCAGGCTAGTAGATTTTGCGAGCTTCAGCCCCACGGTGGGGCAGTGGGGGAGCTGGAGTGCCAGCGCAGGCTCCCCAATGCTGGGGGGGAGAGCCCTGAGGCTCGGGGGCCAGATTCAAGCAAGCCGGGAGCTACATCCAGCCCTTGGGCCTGAGGTTTCCCACCCCTACTTTAGAAACTTCAGGGAGTAGTCGAAGGCTCTTGCAGGGCCCTTTGTGTCACCAATGGAAGGTACCAGCTGCAAAACCCTATGGAGGACAAACTCCAGGCATGAGGTGCTGGAAAGCAGTCAAAGAAAGAGTTAGTGTGAGCGCAGCTGAAACAGGGATGAACTGTGAGAGTTTGTGTTCTGTTCTCAAAGACTTTTTTGCTAGTATCCATTTAACTTCAATGCCTGACTAATTCCTTGGAGAAAGGAAGCCTTTGTTAAAGAATTGACATCTTCCCTCCCCCATCCTTTCAGCTGAAGTTTGACAGCTAATAATGTACATCCTTAGAGAACCCCTGAAATTACTCCAGCGAAACAAATAAAATAAAATAAAAACACAAGAAAGAAAAATTGTAAACAGCCTTTTTGTGCTATTGTTAAGAAGCAAAAATTGGTACAAGCGGAGGAGTCTGATGTAATCCAGGAAAATATTTAATCACAGGCTTAACTTGAAGCAAATTCAGCCTGTGCATTCTTCCCTTAAGATCAGTGGAACTATTCAAGTGCTTAAAGTTAAGCTCATGCATCAGTGCTTAGCTGGACTGGGCCAGGATACAATAAAGCCCCATGCCTTTCTTGTGATCATATCATTTTGTAATAAGTCACTTTTCTGAGGGGAGCACAAAATTTGGTTTTAGCCGTATCGTATTTAAGCAATCTGTCTAAAAATAGATCACATATTTATTTTAAGGCCAAATGATGTGGCATGATTTCTATGGAGGGCTAGCCCGTACCAATCCTACAAACAGCTCCAGAGTGATTAAGACTGACAACCCTTCTGGAAACAATGGTGTGTTTTGGGAAAAAAATAGATGAAATGTCCATGAGATAGTTATGTATTTCTAGAGCAGTGTCACTGAGTAATGTAGGTGGTGGAAGTGGAGAAGCAGATTGTAACTGAAACATGATCAACTTCTCAGGCTTCGTAAGCAAAAGTATTTTATTGCAGTGCATCTGGGGGTGGGATTCGATCATGTTCTTTATTCCTTAAGGCTTTATTTTCAAGCCCCTCTCCAACAGGCTAGCATAAAACAAGAGATATATTTTTCATCCAGTAACAAAAGGATCCAAACCATAGATATGAGAAGCCATAAAAGACAGAGAAACAAGATACATCAGTGTCCCTCCTGGGGCTGTCTAGCAGGTTCTCACACTTTTTTATAGCATACTGTAGACAGGAGGTCTGGCTCATTCACAGCTCCCCTCACATCCACAGTTGTCACTCGCAGCCCCGTGACGATTATAATAATTGCTTACATTGAAAACGAATGTGGGGGAAGGCATTGAAAGTGTCCTACGCTGTCTGTTTAATGTGACTGAGGAAGGGAAACAGAGGGTTAGCTTTGTGGGAACAGCCAGCTCTTTACAGACCACCAAAAATTGGTCCGCGGATCAGTTTAGAAGCCGCTGCTCTGTAGGAACTGGTGGTGTGTGAATCCCCCCCCCTTGCTTAAAAATCTTCCTTTCAACTAAATGCAATGCTGAACCCAGCCTCTAGGTGGCACTTTCCAGAGAATACTGGATGGTTTGGCCTATTTTCCCACTCAAGAGTATATAGGAAGTTACTGCTGGAGCCCTGCAAATCCATGGATCTTTGCTTTATATTTAGTGGGTCCCATCTCCCCCGGCCCCCCAGCCTCAGCGAGAGGGTTCTAGCAGCCCTACCTCCTGGCCAGGCCCCTCCCCACAGGCTCAGCACTGGCTCCAGCAGCCCCATCCCATCCCAACTGCCCCCTCCATGGCTCTGTGTCCTGTCCCCATTCACCAGGAGGCAGTGAGTGGCACAAGTGAAGGCCAAGGACTCTGGAGGAGCAGGGGGCAGCTGTACAGCTGGTGGCTGGAGAGAAGCAACAGTTGCCCCTTCAAAGCATCACTTTTCTCTGGCCAGCAACATGGCTACCCTCTACTCCTCCAGCCTGCACTTGTGCTGCCCACGCCTCCTCCCTCCTGCCCTGCTCCAGAGCTGCTAACTCTCCTGGACCAGACGCCATTGCAGCAAACCAGGAGAGTTGACAACAACCTGCCCTCCATAGCTTCTGCCCCTGCAGTCTCCTTTCCCCCTTCCCCCTCTCTAGGTACATCTAGACTACAAGCCTCTGTCGAAAGAGGCTTTTTCGAAAGATTATTTCAAAAAAGCCTCTTTTGAAAGAGAGTGTCTAGACTACAAGCAGATTTTTCAAAAAAGTGAGCCACTTTTTCGAAAGAGAGTCTAGACACTCATTCAAAAAAGCACAGTTTGTATTCAATAGCGCCTTTTTTTGAAAGAGTAATTTCGAAAAAAGGCGTTATTCCTCGTAAAATGAGGTTTACTGCGATCGAAAAAACTGCCGCGTTCTTTCGATTTACTTTCGGAAGAACGCGGCTGCAGTCTAGATGCAGGTTAAGTATTTTCGAAAAAAGTAGCCTTTTTTCGAAAAAAACCCTGTAGTCTAGACACACCCTCTGTGTTGGTGCTGGGCTACGTAGGG